ACGTGGGATGGGAGCCTTAGGCACTCGAATTAGACACAACGGACAGTGAGCTTGGTCCCCTCCACCCTCAGACCATGCTCTCCACACCACATCACCACTTCAGCCCCCCTCGCCCCCCCCCCACACCCGAGGTTCCGGCAACTATTATTTATACGTGTATATATGTATGTATGTGTTTATGTATGTATGTATGTATGTATGTATGTATGTATGTATGTATGTATGTATGTATGTATGTATGTATGTATGTATGTATGTTATGTATGTATGTATGTATGTATGTATGTATGTATGTATGTATGTATGTATGTATGTATTATGTATGTATGTATGTTATGTATGTATGTATGTATGTATGTATGTATACCATAGTGGCACCATACACCATAGGCCCGGACTCAGGTCGCGCTGCCTGGACCCGAGTCCGACTTAAGTCGCATAATTACCGACTTGCTACTCGACATGGGAGTTTTGTCCAGCGACTCCCCACTTGATCTGTATCTTGTAACTTCGGCGACCTTGAGCGACTCGTTCTTCCTCTATTCTTTATTTATTTGTTCATAATTGTCTTCTTTAACAAGGCTAGGAAATGTAATGGCCAGCGGCAGACATGACGTTGACTTTCCTTCAGTTACACTTACTAGATTTAGCTTACAATGTCAACGTTTAACATATGGACGCAGTATTTATAAAGAGTCCCCAAAAAACATCCGGCGTTGTATTAAAAGATACAAAACCGAACGAAAATTAGATCAGTGAGCTTCACAATATAACAAACAAACAAAATGTGAACGTTGTTGCTATAGAGCCTTTATTAGCACCTACATAAATCAAACACAACCACATGAATACATAACATCACTTAACTGAGTATCCAGAAGCAGCCACGTTGATGGCTTGCCAGTGGAATGAGAAGAAAGCGTGGGGCCCGAGTTCGGCAAGGATCACATTGTACCAAATCTGTACGAAAGTACCAGCTTCGCCAGCTATGATCAGGACACAAAGGTGGACCTAGACACAGTGTGCGCTGTCTGTTCATCATCATCATGGTGTAGCAAGTCCTTTGCAGAATGTCACTCTTATCACCCTGCCTGAAAGAAACTCGGTCTCTCGCCAGCTCTCCCGCCTCGTGCACTTTCATATCCAAGGAGTTACTTATATCCTGTGTCATCTTCGTTTTGATCAGCCCTGTTCCTCCTCCCCGGTACCATGTCTAGAATTATTTGCTTTTTTTTTTTTTAAACTACAAGTTTTTAAATGTGGACACCGTCTGTGGCTTTAGCGTTGCGAACGAGTCTGTAATGCCGGGGTGCTGTGTTCGATCCCAGCTGAGGGCCTTGCGCCTTGCGTTGGTTTCGACAGTGGTGTAGAGAAGCCGACTGTCCAGTAAGCAATAGCAAACTACTGGACGTAAATTTGCCTAAAAAACACAACAGCCAAAAAATGATGGGGTTGGTTCTGCAACGTCCTGTAAATGATACGCAACTAACTGAACTTGTGAATATAAACAACTGCGAAAAACATTTTTAAAAAAAAACATTAAGAAGATTCTCGACTTGAACTGATTCGTAGCCGTGGGGGGGGGGGGGGGGGGGGGGGGTGGGGGGGGGGAGGGGGTGGAGAGCAGACACAAATAAAACTTGAGACTGTGGGCCTCAGCATGTATAACTTTTAGTTAATGAGTGCTTAAGGGTCTAAGCCTTATTTAAATGCACAATAGCAATATTAGTAAAATAATAATACTATTTATTATTTTTATTTTTGATATTTTTTTGCGCTGAATGGCAAATAAATAATGTAATACTGTATTTGTAATAATATGAAATGTATAAACGAATACTTTAAACAAAATAACTTTTATACATAGTTGGGTGCTTGAGCAACCAGGACCCGATGACTACAATCGTGTAGTTTCTCCTATCCTTTGCCATCTTCTTCCTTGTTTCCCCCTTGATCTTCCAATTGGTAGTAAAGTCAGTCAGTACCACGCATGCATTTGGTCGCATTCAAAGTCTGACTATTTTTCTTCCTTGTTGTCAGGTCTATAGCATTAAGAATTATCCTAGTTTTACTTTGGTGAATTTGCGCGTCTCTCTGAAAAGCGAAATAAAATCCCTTGAACGAAAATAGTCGACTGAAATGGTCACTCATTTACTCGTATGTGTGTGTGAATGTGTATTTATTTATATACATGTATGCATGTGTGTGTGAATATATATATATATATATATATATATATATATATATATATATATATATATATATATATATATATATGTGTGTGTGTGTGCGTATGTGAGTGTGTGCGCGCGCGCGTGTGTGTGTATGTGTGTATTAACCTTTCATTTGAATTCGTATTTTATATGGAAGCCAATCATGACATCCTAACATATTCTTTAAAAGCCTTTTGGTTTCTTGTTGTCTAGGAAGTCGCATGCAATTATTTGTAATTTAAACGGTACCTTTTTAAAAATTTACACTTCTCCCAAAACGAGACAAAAGTCCATTGAGTTCATTAAGAAAACACTCGGATTGAGTCGTAGAGTGTAGTCCCAAATTTATACGACATTATTAAAATGGCGGCCTCAGTTACAAGTCTAGAGTCGGGTGGCGTAGGTGATGTAAATAAAGGTACTTATATGTCCTTTTGGGGCATTATTTCCATCTTTTAAAGCAACATTTCTGTTCTTTGCAGGTTTCTGTTATAGATCTGTGTTTTATTACATATTATTTTACGGAGCCACAAACGCCATTGTCCGTTCTTGATGTCAGTCAAGGAAGCACGCAGGACGACATGATTACATTGCCTCGTCTGCAGTCAGTCGCCACACCTGTTGCTCATCTCTAACCTACCTCGCTAAAGAGATGGGCAGGCTAATTTCGACGTATAAAGATTAAGCTTAAAGAAAAAGGTTTATTATATGAAAAATACTTAGACTGCCTGAAAATAAGTGAAAGTTAAGTCTACAATCATCGTCTGCTAAGCTAATGATGAATGTATTTATTATTAATTATTATAATTAAAGTGGTAATAATATAGTCCCAGCGGTTAGAAACACAGAGGTCTTAGTCTCATCCTCAGTAAAGGTGGATTTGTTTATGTCAAGAGGTCAAAAATAAGATTCCAGACTGTAAAATATGTCATTGGTGACTGAGTGACTGCACTAAATTAAATGCTCAGCCTCAATAGCTAGTACAATACCCTTTGTCCTGCCCTACATCTGTTATACCCACCTAAATAAAACACGTTATTTTAATTGCAGACACTAATATAGTGTAGTATTAGTATTCAAACGGTCAAGCTTATTAATTACTTAATAAACTTATATTGTTAACTCTTAATTCCAGCTCTACAAATCAGCATCTGAGTTAGTGTCATACTCGTCAGATACCTGTTAATATGTTGAATACACAGCTTTTGTTTGTGGCTGGCTCTCTGTGTGAATTCTGTGGCCCCCATTTGGGGGCCAAGTTCAGAAGTGGATGAATAACCAGAGCTTTCCACAGGAACTTACAGCCAGTGAACATGTAGAAGATGTTTGTGGATAACTCAGTGTTGATGACACAGTGCATATATATATATATTTATTTATTTATTATTAATACATTTGTTGCATTGCTAAATATGCACATTCTTTTAAATACCTTCTAAAAGGTGCTAGACTGAACCTCATACAGTCAGCTTCCGAAAGTGAAACTGAAACAACCCTCATAGTGACACCATCCAAACTTTTTACAGCAGGGCTTTTTTTTTGGGGATGATTCGCAGCGGTATGCAGTACCAGCACCTTATTTTAGGCATATTCTTGTCAGGTTTTTGCAATAAATACATTGTGGTTAGTGCCAACACCTTTTTTTGTTTCATTTGTAAAGAGCTGTTAAAAAAACAACACTATGAGGTAAAAATGTTACTGTAACTTGAAGATAGCATAGTTTATTATCACATTTAACCAGGAAACAAAGGTTTTAGAAAACCTTTTATTCTAGAGAAAAAGCCCTGGCTATTGATTAGTGAGGACTGTCATCACTCAGCATTTTTAACAGATCCATAGGTGCTCTGATCTCCTCCTCAGTAGCTTCCTAAGAGTAAAATGAGTGACTATGCCCGTTCTGTGTTGATTAACTAAGTGCTTTGTGCCCTTGGTAAAATGTTCATTTCTGGCTACTCCAGGCTGCACTGCCATATCCTGGACAAGGATTCTGAGTCCTTCTTATGGTTGTGATCTTCTTTGCGACATGTAGCTCGCATGGTATTAATGACATCACTACTATCCAGTTCCAGGCTGGTTGTGAATGTTTAACAGTGTTAACTCCGTTGGTACCAGTCAGCTCATCAGGAATTAATTCGTTAAATCTTCCCTGTAATTTAGCTTCACACCCCACACATGAAGTCTTTTAACTGCTTGTATTAGAGTGTAGTGGAGGGTGTCTTGTGGTGGAGGTTTTATGGCTGAATGGCTAGTGCAGTGGCCTGAGACTGCAGGGGAAGATTTTAGTCTTGCCTCATATTGCATACAAATGCCACAGTGAACTTCAAGGACTTGGAATGCTAAAGGAGGAGGAGCTGATTGCATACCAGTGACAACAAATTATACTGATGATTCTTGATTCTGGTGATTATCTAAGCTGGCAGAACCTGGCCGCCTTTGTTTATCTACAGGGTACATGATGGTGATAATGGACCGTACGTGTTGGTGGAGAGGGGGGGGGGGGAATTTTTGAGGAAGGAAAAAAAAAGAATAGACCCATTGCCCCCCAACAAGCATGTTGTGAAAGAGAAGTTAATTAGGAATTTGCTTAAGTTAGATTGTTAGGTCAAAGGCACAGATATCACAGTCTAACTGTAGACCACAACACACAGTGCCAACCAGCCTTTCTAAAATGAACGCTGAAAAGATGATGATGCTGATACTGATTTTCAGACATTCATATAGGTAAATAACAGTTAACATTTATTACTATGAATTTATTACAAATGTGTTTCTTTTTCTCACACACAGATGATGAGAAGCAAAAAGAAAAATCATGTGAAATTGGACAAATTACTGACACATCAAATCGAGGACCAAATGCAAGCTCTGGTGAAGGCGACAAGAAAACTGCAGAAACAGTTCACAGATGTAACGAAAGTGATGATGAAGGGTCTTCTGTAGATTATCCTCAGGTAGCCTCATCTGCCGAGAAATCACAAGCTTCAGAGTCTGAGGCTCTGAGTGGGAAGTCTAGCAATGAGGATTCAGGTCTGGTCTCTGAAACAAGCCCTGAGGTTCTGAGTGGGGAGCCCACCACCAAGGATTCAGGTCTAGTCTCTGAAACAAGCCCTGAGGTTCTGAGTGGGAAGCCCAGCATCAAAGATTCAGGTCTAACCTCTGAAACAAGCTCTGATGTAGAGTTGAGTGTAGGGCAGACAAATAAAGAGCAGCATACGGTTTCAACAACTGCAAATTCCAGTGATGACGTGAAAGCTGAAAATATTGTACAGACATCATCTCAAAATGTGATTGCCTATGACAGTACATCTACCGCAGAGGACTCACTGAAACAAAAGAGTGATTGCTCTGAAAACATCTCTCTAGTGAAAAATCAATTAAAATCTGAAATCAGTGTGGAAGATAATGTCTTTGATGAGGGAACAAAGACACAGTCCTCAGAAATTGCACCCAACAATACTGAACCAAATAATCTCAAGTCAGCGGGCAGAGAACCTGCTTCTGGTGCTCAGCAAAACAAGGTAGAAACAGAAGCACATGAAGAAGAGAGACCAGTTCGAGAAATGCTGGTCAGAAGATCACGCACAGAGAGTACAGACAGCAACTCAGACAGACCAGTGGTGGAGCATTTGACATTCAGTGTTGCTAAAAACATTGAAACCATTAAAGATGAGGAGACGAAGGCTAATGATATGTGTGAGTGTTTGCTTTGCGATCGTGCCTATCCTGCCTACAACAAAGAAGACGTCCTGGCTCATATGGTGTTGATGCATAAGTTTGTCATTGCAGATGTCAATTTCATTGGCATTTTTACAGAGTAAGTAGCTTTGATTTTAAAAAAAATATTTTGCTTAGATTTGAAGCACTTACTTCATCAGAATTAACTGTTCCTTTCATTCTTCCAATTGACTGCTATGGCTTTTCTGGGTGATGAGCTACTTTATGATAAAGCAAAATGGTAAAGCTCCTTTCATTCTTCCAATGACCGCTGTGGCTTCTCTGGGTGATGAGCTACTTTATGATAAAGCAAATGTGGTGAAGCTCTATAGGATACATGAACACTACAACAGAACAAACCGAGTATCCTATGCATTGACATACTAAATCAGTGGGTGGTGAGCAGAAGGTATGGAAGATATTCAACACTGAAGGGAAAACATGAGCGTACTCTCCCGTGTGGGTTGCGGGGTCCTACTATTGGGAAAAACAAGAATAGACCCACTGCCTACTCAAAAGCATGTCGTAAAAATAACCAATTGGGAGCTTCCTTCGAAGTCGGAGTGCATCTGCCTGAGAGGCAAGAAACCAACAGTCTGCATACAGATCTGTCAAACGGATGCACACACAACACTCAGGTTCTGGAACAGAGCTGCAGTCCAGAAGTGGACGAACAACCAGAACTTTCCGCTGGAGTTCACAGCCGGTGAATGCGAAGAAGAAGAAGATGAGCATACTTTTAATCAGGTTGCTGCTGGTATTCTTATCATATCGACTCTTTGTTGGCTACTGAGGAAGGTGACGGAGCACGTGTGAGAATGTCCAGAGTGCAGGTATGTCAATTCTTGAACCATTCATTTATTCATTTTTCAAAGAACCAAATGTATTAATTTTTAAAAAGTTTCTTCATTTTTTTCAAATCTACCAAGGTAGTGTGAAAGGGATTGCATATCCCAGTAACTCCAGGAAAATTAAACGGTGTATTGAAAACAAAGAGAGAAGATTGATTTTTTTGCGCTATGTTGTACCCCATATGGCCCAATCTGTGTAAGCATAGTGACTGTTATTCTCCCAAAATGTCACACAAAGCACACAACCCCTTAGCTCGAGTGATGGCTCGAAATAACAGAATCCAGCACTCTTTATGTCCTGATGCTAAGCATAAGCAATACACAGAAATATAATATTTCATTTATATTTTGGTAAAGTGAAAATTCATAATAAACATTCGTATCTTTGTTTCCCCAGATACATGAGATATTGGAAGAAGAGGTTTGAAGAGAAACCCTACTCTGAATTCTGCTCTAAAATCGTGACAAATGCTAGCGTGAAAGACGATGGTAATATTTTAGTATTCTAATTTTTTTGTATTTTCCATTTGTTTTCGATCCTGCAGAGGTTAAAAATTATGGCGCTGTCCAGAATTGAAGTAAAGCTAGTCCCATAGCAGAAACTCTTGAAGGGATTATTGTCTAATGTGGAGGATAGGCAGGCTAACTGTTCTAGTCTTGGCAAGTTGTTTGCTTTAACTATGTTTAGCTGTTGCATTTTCCCCCATTTGTGGACTGAAAGTATATAATTCTGTTGCCCAGCTATGAAGTTGAGTGCATAGAGTGACACTGAGCTGTAAACTTCATTTGGAATGCTTTTCAGCGGTACCCAGAATGGTTTACGTTGTGAACTGCAGATTCAGAAAATGGAACTTGGCCTGTTGCACAGAACTGGTGGACCCTAATATGTTTTATTTCATGTGCAGCTGCTTTTTTATTGTAACTGCTGCTTCCTTTGATGATGAACTGTAATTCTAGTGCGGATTGTTTGTATTGGCACTTGATGATGGCTGTCTGATGCATTTATTGCATGTATATGCGCATTGGCTTTGTCAAGAGTGTAGTCTGTTTAGTTTTTTTCACAACAGACTGATGGGCATTCTGTAGGGTTTTGTTGTTTGTGTTCACTGGCTGTAAACCCTGGTGGAAAGACCTGGATGTTCGTCCATTTCTGGACTTTGGCTTTGTTCTAGCACCTGAGTTTTGCGTTTGCATCCGTTTTACAGACCTTGCTTATTTGTATGCAAACTGTTAGTTCCTTGCCTCTCGGGCAGATGCACTCTGACTTTGAAGGAAGCCTCCATTTAATCGACTCTTACCACATGCTTGTTGGGAAGGCAGTGGGTCTTTTCTTGTTTTCCCCCACAATAGGGTCTCGAAACCCTCACAGGGATGGATGGTTTTCACTGGGACAGGAACTGAACAATTATGGGATGACCCGTGAAGTTGGATATGTGCTAAATTGTTTACTGCTAAAACGGTGTGAATGTTTAGGTTTCACATATTCTAGGTACATGATGTGAGGGTGGCAAGCTCACTTCCTTGTCACATTTCTTTTCCCGAAAATTCTCGGAAAAATCTGACACCAATTTCTTTAAGACATTACTCCTTAGTAATATAGTCATTAAATGAAACCTTCCGTTTCCTTAATAACATTGGAGAACATACCACCCTTTGTATGTGTTTGTGGTTTGGCTTTACAAGATAGGAAGAAAGTCAGCTGGTAATTAACTTCATGTTGGATTTTTTTTTTTTTTTTTTGGCAGCCTCAAAAGAAGAGTTTTTCCTTCTGTGTGATGCTCTGCCAGAAGACAAAGCTCTCAGAGAAGATCTCCAGAGGAAAAAGCTGGTAATGGCAATTGTTTCTTTTTATATCAGTCATGTGCTATCTTGACAGTAACTATTGGCTGCACTCTTCAGTTTCCAACACTTTCTGTCTCTCACCCTGAATTTACACTTTCTTAAACTTGTGTTTTGTCTATCTCTTGATGTTTTCCACCCACTTGTATCGCTATCTACTCCATGCTTGCTTGCCTTAAATTTTTAGTTTTGCTATCTAATGTGTCTTTTATTAAAGTTATATTTTTTTATGTGGGCAAACAATTGTAAAACAAATTTTTACAGTTCAGTCAATAACTTTATTTTAGTTCCCAATTATTCCGAAACCTCTATACATTATTGTTTTTTCACCCACGAAATATGACCTGTTTTTTTTTTTTTTTACTTGACATTTTCAGAGCCTTAGTTCAACCTTCTTATTCTTTGTTAGCCCTTGTTGTGTTGTGGTTTGCAGCTAGACTGAAACTGCACCTTTTGGTCCAGCACATCTTTTTTCAGTAGTGAAATGAAGTCTTTCATTGTTTTAAAAAAATGTATGTAAAAAAAAAACTGTCATGATGAAGAAAGGTAAGTAAGCATTCCATTTCCATGCCATTACATTTTTTTGAAAAACATTATGCTAGCTCAATATTTTTATAGACTAATCCACACTGTCGATTTTATGGTCAGTATCCTGCTGGTTACTTTTACTTCACATAACATTTCCTAGTACCAGTTTTAGGTTTTGTTGGCCATGGGTACAGATAATTTTTTTTTATAGAAAATTTCATTGGAGATTTGAATCGGTTACCTCTGGGTAACAGGTGAGTGCACCTGCTGTCATGCTAGAGCGACTCCTTTTAAAGAACTGTTGGCTGTCATATATTACTGAAACCCTTTAGTCCCCATGAGGGTTCCGCTCCCCATTGTTGGGAAAACAAGAATACACCCATTGTTATCCTAACAAGTATGTCATAAGAATTGACTAATTGGGGGCTTCCTTCGATGTCGTAATGCATCTGCCTGAGAAGCAAAAAACCAAAAATCTACATGCAGATAAGTCAGGTCTGAATGATGGACATCCACACAATGCTCAGGTACTGGAAACTACAAGAACTTTTTTCTGGGGTTTAAAGCCTGTGAATGGTTAGAAGAAACCCTGACGTTCTTCTTTGTGTTCACTGGTTGTAAACTACAGCATAAAGTCCTAGTTGTGTTAAAGTTAGTTGCGTATCCTTTACAGGACGTTGCAGAACCAACCCCAGCATTGGCTGTTGTGGTTATTCTAGGCAAATTTACGTCCAGTAGTTTGGCATTGCTTTCTGGATGGTCGGCTTCTTGTTACCACTGAAACCAACGCAAGGCTTTCAGCTGGGATCAAACCTGGCACTCCAGCATTGCAAAGCGCATGTGCAACGCCTAGGCTACAGACACCAACGACCCTAGTTGTGTATCGACTTTTATTTAGACTGGTTTTGTTCCAGGAACTGCGTTTTGCGTGCACATCCATTTTACAGTAATAGCTTATTTATAAGCAGGCTGAAGGAATCTGTATCACATCTACACTGGCCAGGCTGCCCTTGGGGAATCTGTTTCTAGAAAGTCCATGGACAGGTGTTAGGTTTTGACCAGTATAATCCCTGGTCCTGATCCATCAGTTTTGGTTCGGTATCTCTCCATCGTAAACCCTGGATTTAACCAGGGACCTCTATATATTTTCAGTCTGATGCTTACGCAGCTGAGGTATTCATGTATATTTGTTAATTTGTAGACACCAACTACAGTTGTCTGTTTTGATTTACCATTCTCTTGTAGGAATCGGTTTTGGCACAGCAGCAGAAAGAGCGTGAGGAGACCAAGTTTTGCCGTCAATGCCTGTTCTGTACTCAGACCTTTTGTGGCAACAGGTATGTGGAAAAATATGGTAGATACTAGGGTAGGATGTATTTGTGTGTGATAATATGGCGCGTAAACAAAACAACATATAGAAGTGGGGTCGTAACATCAAGAGATGGACAATAGCAGTCTTAAAGTGTGGGCAAAAGGCAGAGTGTTGGAGATGTAATGCTGCCCACCTTTATGGAGACTCCATCTGGTTGATTCTTCTCTAGGCCTTTTCTGCCTTTCAGTGTCAGCTTCTCAAGAGGCATGCACCTGGTACTCTAAGCCAGCAATGTCGGGATTGGCTAGTTGTTTTTTGGAAGGGTGGAGAGTGAAAACATTAGTGGCCTAACAATGACTCGTAGGACACCCATGCCAGCCCCTCTCCAAGCGGTGTACACAAGAAAACAGGCCATGAGTTTTCAGGCTGGCAGGGCTCTGGCTCGTCAGGTCGGGGGAGATCCGTTCGGTTAAAGACTCACTGAAACTGCAACAGGCCCAGCACGGCGGCAGTGGATTAAATCTTGCTCAAATAAACAATAAAATCTTTTTGATAGACGGATGGATTAACCCTGCTCTAAACTTGAGAAATTATTAGGGATCATTGGATGAATAATGGCTACTTCATTCGACAGAAAACCTTAGCTGCAAAATCCAGACTGTCATGAACACCTCACACAGATCGTGATGTGAGTTGGTTGATGGTCTGTTCTGCATTGGGAGACGAAAGACAAAAGAAGAATGATGGCTTGGCCTATAAGGGTTAGAATGGATGTGTTCTACCTGTGGATATAAGTCAAAAGAAGAGAAGGATACAAGTAATTTTATAGTCAATACTACTATAGAGTTTTCGCATTCACCATCTGTAAACTCTGGTGGACAGTTCTGGTTGTTTGTCCATTTCTGGACTTTGGTCTCGTTACAGAATGTGGATTTTGTGTGCACATCAGTTTTACAGAGTTGGGTTATCTGCATGCAAACTGTTAGTTCCTTGCATTTCAGGCAGATTCACTCTGACTCAGAAGAAACCCTTAATTAACCATCTCTTACGGCAAGCTTGTTAGGGAGTAAGTAAGTCTGTTCTTGTTTCTCCCCCATCCCCTCCTTTACCTTTGGGGCTTCGGAACCTGCACAGGGAATCTTATTATCATGGCATATTTAAAAGGGGTGACCACTTCAGTTTCTGAAAAGTATCTAGGACCCATTTAAGAAATCGGAGCTTTCAAGTCAAATTCTATCCTGTCACTGGTGGGACTGACTAGATCAGAACTCAGAAGTTTGCCCATGTGGACGGGCACAAGAGAATACTGAAGATGTCTTGCAGACAAGCCAAGAAGGCTCTTGACAGTCTTTTGTTACGGCATGGAGGAGTGATGAATGCGATTAAGAGATCGCAGGTTGTGGTGAGGCATGATTGCCCACGTCAGTCACCAAGCATTTGATAATGCTGTCTACGTGCATTAGGAATATCCCAGGTCTTGCCAGTTAACATCTAACAAAAGTATTTCAGGATCCTCGCTGGTGCGAGGAGTTTGTGCACTGCGCTGAGATTCTTCGGACTCGGGCTTGGGTCAGAAGGAGAACAGAGCACTTAGGGTTACTACCCTTGTGCCATGATGTTGATCTGTCGTCTAAACCTAAAACTCAAACCTAAACCAAGCTGTATGGACCAGGGAAAGACATGTTTTGCACCCAAAACCTTCATAGAGGTTCATGTGGGCTTCTCATTGGAAAACCACTGGCAAGGAGAACAAAAAGCAGACTGGTGGAATTCATCCTTAAGCCACCATCTACTACAGCTTCTGTATCGGGTAGCTGAGAGAAAACAAAACTAATCATAGTATGTCAAGTCAATTGCAAATCTGATCCTTTAATTTCTTTTCAATGCAGTTTCTGAGTCTTGATTTCACACTTTTCAACGAGCCATTATCTAAATTTATTGTAAATTAATGTGTGGTGTATTTATGCTTTTTGTTTGATCCATCTATTTTAGTGAAAAATTTAATTTATTATGTAAAATGAAAACAAGGTAAGATTTTTTTTTTTAACGAATTATAAGGGTAAGTCTGATATCATGTAAACCGAACTGATGATTCTGTTACCACATTGTAAACTGAATATAATGATTTTCTTGCCAGTGAACCCTGTTTCTGCTTTTTTGGATTCTAAATATGTGATTTATTTATGGGGGGGGGGGGGATATTTGTTCTGTATGATGCTAATTTATTAATGTCGCTTCTGTACATTGTTTTCTTCAGAGCCGTACTTCTTGACCATTTGGTCCGAGATCATAGCTTCCATGTTGGCCAGCCAGACAACCTTGGTTAGTACTGCGTTTATGTTTATAGTTATGTATCCTGTTTTTTTGGGGGGGTAAAATTACCTTGTTATCTCCTTCTTCTTCTTCAGCCTCTATCCTTACAAGGGTGTTTGTATGTTAAATTGCCATTTGGAGCGAGGCTGTGATATCTGCGCTTTTCTGCCCAATACATCTGATTTCAGCAATTTCTCCATAAAATATGGAATTACAACTCACTTTTTTGGGCCCAGAAAGAGAGTGACTTTCCTTCCCATTCATAAATTTCTGTGTCGCAGGGCTTGTGCTATGTTGCGGGGGTGTCAAGCTAAGTGACCGACCAACAACACGCAGCATTTTACTAGTTGTTTTCACCGGCCGGCGATATCGCGTGTTCCATATTACAGGATGTAAGCGCTTTTAACGGTCCCGAAACATGCAGAACTGGACATAGGCTGCACTCTCTCATGGGACACAGGCTGCACTCTCTCATGGGACGTAGTAGGGATTTGGGTTAAGGCCAGTTCTGCTTGTTTCTTTTTCTGCTTCTTCTTCATTCCTAATTTTAAATTGTAGAGCTTTATTGAATTGAAATCAAATGTACAATCACTGTATTTTGTTTTCAGAATGTAGACATGTGGAACATTTTGATTGATAATATTATTTGGACAATTCGCCTTGGTTTGCTATGTGTGTTAATTATTTTCAGGTAACTTTTAATTATTAATGTTGATTTTGTTATTGTTTTTTTTTTTTTCCAGTTTTCACTGATGAACTATTTGATCTAATTCAGTCGAAGCTTGACAGGTGAGTAGCAATCCCAGATTGCTTTACCTGTTACATAGTTGTTTGTTAAGTTACCAGATTATTTGCTTATTATGTGCATTATTCTGTCAGTGCTGCTTTCAAGCTTTTTCATTAGGGTTGCCCCACTAGAAAGTAGGTACTATTTGATTAAATTAAAGAAAATAAAAATTACCTTATTAATTCTTACTACACATACATGTGTATAGAGCTCTGGTATTCTGGACTATATGCCCTTTAACCCACATTTTTCTGTGCTATGCGGGTCATTCTAGGTTGCACCAGAGACACCCCAGTGGTGTGTATGCGAAACATCCTTGGTTTGCAGGCAGGCACAAGGTGCTGCAGGCGAAGTCATATCTCAAGGTAGCTGCAGACACAGACCACCCTTTGCACGAAGCTCTGGGCGCAGTTAAGGGTCAGAGGCTGATAAGAGGGAAGTCATAGATGGCTCAGGCAGAAGACACAATCAGACAGGTTTGCATCCTTGAGAACATTAGGCGAGGAGAGGAGTGGGTCAAAGTGCCACCTGAACAGTCAGACTTGAGTACAGTCATAATCACACTGAGCCGGGAATGCAGAGACTAGCCAGAAGGTGCCACGGAGGTGGAAATTCAGCATTTAATTCAAGATAATGCTTGCTCAGAGGATTTGATTTTTTACACAGACAGTTCAGTGTCAGATGGCAAAAGAAGTGCTTGGGGTTTCTTAGCAGAAGTTAATGGTCGGCGTTTGATGCAGGAGAGCTTAGCATATTAAACTACAACATCCAGCTTAAGAATGGAGGTGGAGGCAGTCACTGCAGTTTTCAGCTGGTTAGAGAACACGACAAGCACACACATCATGATTGTAACTGACACAGAAAGCATGCTGAGAAAGGTCAGCACAGGCATTTTTCGTGCAGGGTGGCATGCTTCTTTGCAGAGGACACAGATGAGGAGTATTGTCTGGATTTTTTCACCAGGGCCGCCAATGTGTTGAGAAATGAACAGTCGGACAGACTGGCTGGCTCTGCACAACTTGGTGGAATACTGATGCATGATAAGGCAGATGTTGTTAGTGCATTGTGGGAGAGCGTGTACAGTTTGGATTAGCAGATGGATCACCACAGTCTGGTGAGATTGATGCAGGGGGGAGTGACAAGAGGCTTGAGGCTCAGAGGAAAGACGGACGTTTAATTAGAATGCTACTGGCACTATAAGTATCGGAACTCTTCACTGGCTGCTGAAGATGGGGACAGAGCGCTTAAGGGAATATCCGGAGTGCTGTGATGTCAGTTCTTGAATCAACTCAACTCGTACTAAAAAAAATTTGTTGCTTACTGTCTTAAAGTGATTAAGCTTCATTGCAACCTTGTTTCCCTAATCCTCACTTGGCTTAGTGATAGATCTTAATTTTTTCTTATCCTAACTTGGATCTGTGATTTGTTTTTAAATTTTTTATCCAGAAACCATGAGTTGTAAACCCTTTGGTTCAGTACTATGGGTATCGCAACCCTTCAGCCCTGATTCTACGATAGATACAGTAAATCTGGTAAATTTATAGCTTTTCTACCTACCCCCGAGTGTGAACCCTTTTACAGATTTGTCACCCGGTCGCAATGCAGCTGGTTTAACCGACTTAACTAGCGCGCCGGGCGGCTCAGTGATAGATCTTTATTTTAATTTTCTAACCCTAACTTGGCTTAGTCATAGATCTTAATTGTTTCCCTAATCCTAGCTTGGTTTAGTGGTATTTCTTAATTATCTTTCCTAATCCTAACTTGGCTCAGTGGTAGATCTTAATTTTCTTTCCTAATCCTAACTTGGCTTAGTAATAGATCTTAATTTTTTTTTTTTTTTTCTGAAATTTTGTCATACTTTTCCCAGTGGGATTTAGTAAAGTTATTCTTCTGTATGTGGTACAATGTCATTTATTTCCTCTTTTCTTCCATATTGTTGTTATACTCATTTTCTTAATGAAATGGCACTCAATGAGTACTTTAACATTTTTTATATCTATAAACTAAAATGATCTCTAATTGAGTTGGATTCTCTGCCTGACAGTCTGCTGTGTCTGTTCTGTGAGAAAGCATTCAAGGACAAGCCAAGCCTGAGAGAGCACATGAGGAAGAAGCAGCATCGCAAGATCAACCCCAAGCACAAGGAATATGACAGATTCTATATTGTCAACTACATGGTGAGTGGTTATTGTCAGAAGGGCTTATGCTGCCATTGGGATTAAGTGAGTTCATCTGCTGTGTTTGGCTTTTAAAGAGCAGTTGGCACATTGCGTTGTGCTGTAGCCCCAGACTGCAGTATCTGTGCTTTTCTGCCCAACACATGAGATTTCGACATACCCTTATTTAGTCGCACTTTGCGACATGCTCTTTTATACCCTTTCATCCCACTGAATTCATGAATCCCTGGTAATTCCCAGCAAACAAATCCGTCTGAAAACAACCATTTAATGCACATCACTAATCAGTCAGTCAGTCAGTAGCATGTTCTTTGCAGAACCTTGCTCCCATAACAACACTCCTGAAAACTTCTCGATCACAAGCAAGATGTCCCGCATCTGATACACCCATCTGGAGATCATCCACCACATCCTGCACTCATCTTCTCTTTAACCTTCCTCTCCTCTCTTCCCAGGCATTTAACCCTCCATTATTCTTCTCTCCAAACTTTCATGCCGTTTCAAGTGACCAAAATATTTCAATTTTCTGTGTTTGATCATCTTGATTAATAGCCAACCCTTTCAGTATTCAGTTCTTGAAGTATGGATGCATTTGTTCTTTTTGCTATAACAACCCTGAAAGAAAAAATTACTAATTCATTTACAACAAAATTATTTATCTATATGATTCAAATTCTTTTTCAAAATATATAGATGGACTATTCAATAATCGTGACCAGAGTAAAGCATTAAATGGTGTATTACTTACTACCCATAGTCTAACAATATGTATCGGTTGACTCTATGCTTGACCCTGTGACCTTTTCATTGAGGCTACAGGAAAGTTTGGTGTCAGTGTGTTTTAGTGAATATATTCATTTCCTGATATGATGTATGCCACACAGATGCAAACACCGTCGCTGGTATTAACGAGATGTCTTGTAAACACATCCCTGTAGAAATGCTGGTTAGGTGGCATTTACAGGAACACTACCGGAATTGCCAGGTTTGTGGTTTTCCATGGCAAAGAGGTTAAGGGGCCACTGGTCTGCCCCTCCCCCTCCCCTTCCGCTCCACCCATATTTGCACCAATTGTCTGACATGTACAACTTCTTTGGGCAGTTGTTTTCCAGATTAGCATTTCTGGTTAGTTTCATGGGACATTTGTAGCGTCATGTATGTGGTGACCTCAGCATCCTCTGATCCACAGGTGTTGTCTCTAGAGGACCCTCCCAAGCCAGCCACGCACTGCTTGGCCATCCCTCGAGGAAAGGCAGAGGCAGAGCATGGCCATTCTCTGCCATCCGAGGAGGCTTCTAAAAATGCAGAGCGGAAACATGGTAATGTGATAATGACAAAGCAACTGAACCAGACCGTTTAATGAATAGGAGTAAGGAAAATAGCTTCATCATTCTCCAAGGAATCCTCGTATGTCCTGTTCACCAGCTGAAACTCCGGCGGAAGGTTCTGGTTTGCTCGTTCCACTACTGAAACTGTCAGTCCTGCTCCACTTGAGTGATTGCGTGTGCATCAGTTTTACAATCCTCACCTCCGTTCCTTGTATGGCAATGAGCGACTTCAAAGAAAGCTCCCCAATAGTCACTCTAAGACATTTTGGGGAAGGCAGTGGGAGTCTATTCATGACCCCGTAACCCACAACGGGGGCATTTCTTTGGTTTCCTGCATAGTGCTTTTTTTTTTTTTAACCATACCCCGTTTAACTTGCAGTCTGTATCAGAGTATATGTGTGAGTATATATGAGAGTGTATGTATGGGTATGATTGTGTGTTTAGTATGCATGTGCTGACTCTGTGTATGTATATGTACGTCTGTTTGTGTGTGTATGTGCACCTGCATTTACCAATCATGCCTTTGAATGTGTATATGTTGTATTTTTTTTTTAACGATATTCATATTATGTAAATTGTTATATATGAACACAACATACCTTATTGATAAAATTCATTTGCGGTCTGAAGGATAAGTTTAGAAGGGCTGAATATAGGACAGGCCTGTGTGCCCAATTTGTGACTATTTGAAAATAAAAATTATTCCTTATTTGTTCTGATTATGGTTGCTGATTCATAACCTTATTTAGTTCTGTCAAACATCTACTTCTCTTAGAGCATTCAGTATGTCAGCCTGGTCCATGGTTCACTCACCCTCCACAGCAGCCTTACCTGCAAGCCTGTCTGCTATCTGGCATGCAACTGATCTTTACTGTGATGGCCTTAGAGACACACTTATTATCCTAGAGTAATTCTGTGTGTGTTTTGGGGCTCCATTATAGGGAAAACAAGAATAGACCCACTGCCTATGCAAAATCATGTCATAAGAGTCGACTAATTGGGAGCTTCCTTTAAAGTTGGAGTGCTTCTGCCTGAGAGGCAAGTAACCAACAGTCTGCATTTGAGTGAATCAGATCTGTAAACCAGAACTCTCCGCCAGAGTGTACAGCTGGTGAAGACGAAGAAGAAGATCCTAAAGTAATTGAGGGGCCAGTATGTTACCAAGATCCTTTAGGGATCTATCACTGCATTCTACCAGGCATGTTGTAGAATTTAGCTACAGTTCGAGTTGATATTGGAGTTTGCTGTCTGTTTTCCACTGAGGGATAAATGGTTATGCGACAGTTAGCCTAGGTTGATTCATTGACTTAATTATAGGACCTTTATTAAAGTGTCTACCTCTTACACTTTAAATACCCCTAATTTTTGCTTCCGTCTCATCACTGTAGCGAGTGGTCTGGTTGGAATGAAGAATCTGCGTCAGCATTTGTTTGCCTGTTTTGTGACGAGACCACTGTAGCAGTAACAGAACTGCTAGAGCACATGAAGGTAAGGTTTCTTCTTCTTTTTCTACATTCATCCTGAAAAGGGTGTTTGGCACATTATGTTGGGGTTTATAGCTAGACTGTGAAATCTGGGCCTTAGCTAGGCTGCAGTCTTTCGACACTTATTTAATCACTCTTTATGATATGTTTTTCTAAGAGGCAGTGGGTCTGTTATTTTTTACTCCAAATGATGCCCCAAATAAAGATAATTAAGCATAAATCCAAAGAATAAGGAAGCAGCATGGTCTCGAGGCATGATGTCCGCTTCAAATGCTAGGGGTTCTGGGTTCAATCCCTGGAAAGAGCTGGGATTTTTTCGCATGGATTTGGACTTCTAGTAATTCCACCGGTCTCTGGGTAGTGAGATCGGACGCCTGTGTGAATTATTGCGCACGTAAACAATAATCCCTTTGCAGTTAGAAATCCTTAAAAAGTGAAGGCGATCATCATGATACTGGTCACGTCACCCATTAAGTGCTGAACGATCTATGCAAATGTGGGGTTAGCACCTAGACCTATTATGCCTCAAGACATGGAAATGAGCCCTTAATTGCTGGCAATAATTTAGTCCCTTACTTAATTACTATCAGTAATTGAGGTTTTTACATAGTTACTCAGTAAATTGAGTCCTTTACCAAATCTTTCATATGAATAATTGACTTCTTTACGTGATAAAAGTTTTTTAAAAAGGTAAGGTCTAGGTCTTCAGATGTTTTGGACATATCAGGCTAGACCTGTATTTTATAGACCATTTGGCACTTAGGGGTGGTGTGGTCAGCATCACTTCTGTTTACATTATAACTGTGAATAATTGATTTCTTTACGGTTTTACTATGAATAATTGAGTCTTTTTTTAATTACTATGAAATATTAAAAGTTGCTTGCGATTCTGATACAGCATGAATTTTGTCTAATCTCAAGTCCCTCAGATGTTTTCTTTACAAAAATATCCACCTTGTTAATATTACTTTCATAGCGTTCCTTTTAATTGATTTAATTGATTTGTTGTTCTGTTGCATTGTATGTTTTTCTGTCTTTGTGACTGGTTATTCCTTCCTTAGTTTTGTCTATCATGTGTTGAGTTGAGTCAAGAATTGACATCACAGCACTCGGGGTATTCCCATGCGTGCTCCGTCCTCATCTTCAGCAGCCAGCACAGAGTCCCAATACCAATGATACCGGTCGCAATCTGGTTATGTGTCCGTCTTGTCTTTTCCCTGAGTGTAGTGAGCTGGCCAGACCCTCTGGGGACATCCAGGTGCCTATTTCTCTCCAGGCAAAAATAATCTTGTTTCCCTTCTGACTCCGTTGCTTGTTCCCAAAGGGCCCTGACTACATCTGCCTTGTCATGTATCAATTCACCACCCAGTGGTGCAGATCCAGCCAGTCTGTCTGCCTGTTCATTTCCCACCATGCCAGTATGGCCTGGAGAAAAGATCCAAAGTATGTCTATAAGGTGTTCCCTGTGAGTTCTGGGGAACCCATTTTGGGGGATAAAAAAAATAGACCCACTGACCCCCTGACAAGCATGTCATAGAAGGCAACTGGTTGTTGATTTGCTGTAATTGGATATGTTGGACCTAGTGCAGATTTTGTAGCCTTGCTGTAAACTTAAGCAACATGCAGTGCTTTATTAATATCCTACCCCAAACAGGGGAAATCCACAGGTCACAGGACAATCTAATATTTCAGGGGCTGGTAGATAGGCTGCATGCCGTTGTGGGACCTAGGCTGCATGCAGTCAATTGACCTAGGCTGCACTCTCTCGTGGGACACAGGTGGGTTGGGGTTAGGGCCAGTTCTAGATGTTTTGGGGTCGTTTAAAGCATCAGAAAGCCGGAAAACCCAGTCTTACCACCCCCAAAAAATGTTGGACTGTCCTGTGACACCATCTGGGGTAGGATATTAATAAAGCACCCAACATGCCAGCCTCCCTTTTAAAGACAAAGTCAGTAGCAGTATATATCTGGAGCAGATTCTAGTTTTTTTTTTTTTTTTTTTAACCTAGGAGACACACAGTTTTGACTTGCATGAACTCAGCACCAAGCTGCAGCTGAACTTTTATCAGAAAGTGAAAATCATTAACTTCATTCGTAAACAGGTATGGTGCTGTTGTTTTCGTATGTTTTATAACTTCTGTGCATTTACATTGTTTTCATTTGTATGTTGTGTAGTGCTGTCTACATCAATGTAGACGTGAAAGATCTCAGAATAATTAAATACATTTACTGGAACCAAGTAGCAGCAATTAAAGTGGGAAACAGATTGGGTACTTTTGAACAGATAAAGCAAGGAGTAAGACAGGGATGTGTCTTATCCTCAGACCTTTTTCTCTCTATATAGTGAAATAATTTTGAGGGAAATTAAAGAGAATGCAGGAGTAAGAGTTGAAGGATACAATATGAACAGTTTGCTTTATGCAGACGATACAGTTTTGATAGCTGAAAATGCAAATGATTTACAACTGCTGGATATTGTGGGGATGGAGAGTGCTAAGAAAGGACTTTCATTGTATATTAAGAAAAGGGAAGTAATGGTTATATCAAGGAAGAAGATAACTCCATGTTGTGTTATCTCAATTGAAGGAAAAAAACTTAACCAAGTAAATCAATTCAAAAATCTGGGAACAATCATAGACAGAGATTAAAAGCAGGATAGGTCAAGCGAAAGCAGCATTTCAGAAGATGAAAAATATGTTATGCAATAAATCAGTCTCATTTAATGTCAGAAAGAGGGTGTCCAAATGTTACATAGAACTTGTTCTGCTGTATGGCTGCGAATCGTGGAATGTCAGTGAACAAATTTGGAAGAATTTGGAAGCAACAGAGATATGGTTTATGAGACGAATGTTACAAATACCTTGGATGGCCAGAATAAATAACAACAATTGCTTGAAAAGAGCTAATGAAAGTAGTTAAGAAAGAAAACAAAAAATAGACAAACACTGTTCTTTGGCCACATAATGAGGAGAGAGACATTGGAGAACATTGTGACAACTGGAAAGATCAGTGGAAAATGGGTAGAGGCAAACCAAGAGAGATGATGCTGGATGTGCTTAAACGATGGCATGGAGGGATATCATCAAGAGAGCTGTTCCAGGCAACCAGGGATCGTGATCTGCCAGTTGGCAAAGCATATGATGATGGTGATGAGTGCTGTCTGAGGGCATAAACAGTGTTGGCGCGATCCATAGGCCAGTCCTCTTTAACTAAGGCAGAACCTACCAATAGCTCTCTCATGTATTAAAAGGTGACTAATTCATGATTTCCTGAAATCAGATGTTAGACCAAAAGGTGTCAGATATCACAGCCTAGCTTTAAACCCCAAAACAATGTGCCAAACCCCCTTTCAAAGATGGACACATGAAGAAAAAAAAAAGATTTTTTTTTTCTTGTTCTGTGATGTTGTTTATTTCTTAGCTTCTTGTCATTTAGAATGTGTCCCCATTTGTCGTGGGGGGGGGGGGGGGGGGGGTTGTGGGAGGAGGAAACTGCTGGGAATCATAGCCAGAAAAACTATTTAGTGGAATAGGGAAAATCGAAATACGTCTACCTGAGAGATGAGGAACAAACAGTCTGCATATAATTAAGCCAGATCTATCAAACGGATGTGAACGCAAAACTCATATTCTGGAACTAGACCAAAGTCCTAAAGTGAATAAGCGACCAGAAATTCCCTTGGCGAGCACTAAGATGAAGTAGTTTTAATTTTGTGTGCGCTAATTGTGTTATTGTGTCAATATTACATTTGTGGTCCCATTGTAAAGGTTGTTATAAATTTATCCCTCTGAAGTCTTGAAGAGAGGATATATCAGTAACCACAACAACAGCAACAACAACAAAAAAGTGTTTTCAACAAAGTACTAATTAACAGGGATCGATTAAGACACTAGAAAGCAATTTGTAGGAGTCGTCGATGTTGACTTTAATAGCTGCTAACATCCTTGTAGAACAAATGAAACAAAAACCTAAACCACCAACTCTTGCAAAGAAAACCAGCACTAAACATTCATTTATCTCTGTGCCCTCTTCTTCCCATTCAGCACCAATGGCAAAATGTACCCCGGTGCGCAAACGCATGTATTTCAAAATAATGCTACAAAAACACTCCATAACAGCACAATATCTACCTAGGATGGACCATTTAAAGCATAGATTAACTCCTTTAGTCACAGAAAATATCATAGCTGGTGCTCCCCGTGTGGGTTCAGGGCCCCATTCTTGGGAAAACAAGAATAGACCTGCGGCCTCCCCAGTAAGCATGTCGTAGAAGTATACTAATTGAGGGTTTCCTTCAAAGTCAGAGTGCATCTGCCTTAGAGGCAAGGAACTAACAATCTGCATACAATTAAGTCAGATCTGTTAAACGTATGTGCATGCAACACTCAGATTCTGTAACAAGACTAAAGTTCAGAGGTGGACAAACAACCAGAACTTTCCCCTGGATTTTACAGAATATGAAGAAGATAGCTGATGCCTGATTGAAGTAATAATGATGACAACAGAAGCATGGATATACTGCCTCCACAGGGTCCAAATATATGGCACATTGTGATAGGCTTGTATGTTGTTGGATTGATTTAGTTTGCCTGACTAAACTTAAAATGTGCAAATGTAAAAAAACATCTTGACTCATGTACATGAGCAACATCCAGTACACATAGTGCATTGTTTGTGACTGAAAGAGTTCAGAATCAGGCACAAAGATATCTTCTGTGTGTGGTGGAATCTAGGGCAGAAATTTTGGAAATTAGAAAAACCCGGCTTTGATAGTTTGTCTTCGAGGTTGTGGTAAATGATGATAGTATCTCTGATATTTGTACTTGATACAGGTCTACCTCAACATCTGTTATGGATGTCAACAAACATTTAATGGTAAAGAAGAACTGCTAGCTCATCTCAACGAGTTTCCAACTCACAGCCAAAATCTTCCCGATGCTGAAGTGTGGGACCAGGAAATGTGAGTAGCATGTTGAAAACTGTGACTTACTCACTCATTATATTTGAGATCTTTTCAGAGGGTCAGATTGAAAAGGGGGGGGGGGGGGGGGGGGGGGGGGTTCTTTATCACTAACAACAAAAGCATTTAATTTTGAATTCAGCTAAGACAGAACTGGACACCCTTATCTCTCTATAGCTTCTTATTCTCTAGTATTCACTTTTTTAAAATAGTGGTCGACACATTGTGGTTTGCAGCTAGGTTGCGGTGTCTGTGTGCTCTTTTGACTTAACACATTTGATTTCAGCAAACCCCTAATTAGTCGCCTTTTTTTCCATGCTTTTTAGGGGGCCATTTGTTTGTTCTCCTTCTACCCCCCACCCCTATTTATATTATACCAGGACTTGAATATCTGAACTCACAACACCTATGGTCTCCAGAACCATGATCTCTCTCTGCCTTCTTTCCCTGCTGTAATTAATTTGTTAAAGTTTAACTGCTGCAACTGTAGTATGTTATCAGGCTGATTTTGCAAATGAACTTTTATGGTGAACAGCTTTTTTTTTTTTTCAATACTGGCGATATGCAGTGGTATGCAGTACCAGCAAATTGTTTAGGTATTATTGTTTTTGGCGCTACTGTAGTAAACACTCTTTGATGAGTACTGTCACCTGTTTTCCTAGAAGAATAAACAGCTCTGGTAACCATGATTATTTCTCTGCTATCAGATTTACAGATGTTTACTTTTCTATGTAATTTTTTTTTAAAACTTTTATGTTTAGGTTTACAAATGTACTTTATGGTAAATACTTTGCAATAACATTTACAAGTTAACTTTTTTTTTTGCCATAAAAGTTGCAACAGTACTGTTATGGTAAATTGTAGCAGTGTTTCCACTAGAGCTGTACCGAATATTCACTTCAGGGCCGAATTGTGGACCTATTGACTATTCGGTATTCAGCCGAATAGTTGCGGTCGGGCCAAATATGAATAGTGGTTGCCGTATACCCGCTTCTGCATACACGGCCTTAATGCTGACATCACGGAACGATTGGTTTTGTTGAAAGCTAATGCAGCTTTCCTGCATTAACTAAGCTGTCAGTTACAATTTCCAAGTTTAGTTACTTGTTATAATACTTAGGATTCTTTCATTCCTAGTTATTAGTTACCACAGACTGACTGAAGGATGCAAAACATAAATGTTTTTAAATGTTTACTATTCTGTACAAATACTAACTAGACAGGGAAAGAATATAAACTCCGGCCACATCTAAGTTGATAATATGAAAATCAAACGAACGGAAACATATAAGTACTTGGGTGCAAACTTCAACTGCTCAAACATGCTGAGAGAGGAAATACAATCTAGAACACAATCTAGAAATAAAGTATACTCTGCCCTTCAACATCTGCTAAAGTCAAAGTGTCTGTCTCGCAACACCAAGATCAAAATATATATAAAACATTTTATATGGCTGTGAAACTTGAAGCAGAAATAAAAGAGATGAGGCCTTATTACAGGTTTTTTTACGACAAATCTTTGGACCCATCAAAGATGCTAACAGCAGGGAATGGAGAGTGAGAAGCAACAACGAAACACATAATCTGTTTAAAACACCACTGATCACTGGCATCATTAGAGCTAACAGACTAAAATGGTTGGGGCATTTTGAAAGAATGTCAGATGACAGAGAAATAAAACTGTATACACCTGAGAGAGGAAGGGGTGTAGACCACGAGGCAGACAGAAAAGAAGTTCGAGAGATAATGTCCAGCCAGACCTGCAAATAACTGGTGTCACAAATTGTAAAAAGAAGGCCAGCTAGAGAGATGAATGTGGACAAGTGATATCTGCAGCAGTAAACCTCAAGGGTTCAGAATGCTAAAGAAGAAAATGACTATTCTGTGCTACTTTTTGTGAAGTAAAAGTTAAGCGTACATTTGACATTATGAATGTTTTTTTTTAAATTTAATATTTTATACACTATTCTTATTCGTATTCGGCCGAATAGTTGGTCCCGTTATTCATGTTCGGCCGAATAGTGAAAATCACTATTCGGTACAGACCTAGTTTCCACATTATGAATTGGAGCAAAGAAGACAAAAACAGCAAATTGCACAGTTTATTTCCTGGCCTATTTCACTGTATCTCCTTAGGCTAAGCCATCTGTTTAAAAGGTCTGCTTCTTCTTTTATCTACTCCTGGAATGCCTCCTGGTTTCATGGCAGGAAGATATCTCTGAAACAGTCCCTTCTGTTCGCTTCTTATAAAGTACTTGTAAGGGTAAACACAGAAAAACACATGTGTAGTCTTCTTCTGTGCAGTCGGCTTTACAAATGTTCTTTTCTACATGAACAGATACTTTGTCCCGACATACGAAGACGACGGACTTCTCTGCTGCCTGGAGGATGATGTTGATGACGACACCGCTGATGGTGCAGCAGGGGACAACACTCTGGTTGCAGCGGTCATCACAGAGGACATTCCAATCCTTGATACAATTCTCCTCACAGACAAGAAACTCTGCCAGGACCTTCTGAAAACCTAATACCAACATGACAGCCTAGTGTCAGCAATGATCAAATGGGAACCATAGGACGTCTGATACAGGAACTGGTTCGGTAGAGTTCAAACATTTGGCTTGTGTACCTTTTCAAGCAGTTGTCTTTAGCGTATGTTATAAATATATATCAAAGTTTTCCTTATATAATCTGTTCATTTGACTTGTATAATGTGTCTCTCTCTTTTTTTTTTTTATGTCCTTCTATATCAAATGATTATGTCAGTCCGTGTGTAAAAACAGAACTGTTTGGTAAAATTTGATGTGGTTTTGAAACATCTTTTTTCTTGTTTTCTTTCTATACTGAGCCTAGAATTTTTTTTAGTACAGTTTGACTCATTTATGACATATGTTCAGTGTCATATATATCTATTGACATTGGAGCTCGTTACTACTTTTTTAAAGCCCCTTTCATAGACTAGGATAGATTTTGAGCCTTTGCTTGTCATTTTGACATGGGAATATGTGCAAAATCATTTCCATGTGTTTGGATATATTTAATTTTGACTTTATTAGAATGGATTTATTTCACATATGGGAACAGATTGATTTTTTTTTTTTCACTTGAGAATATATAAGAATTCATTTCTTATCAAGTTACAAATCATTTCTGTGTCTTTGATTTATTTGTTCTTTTCAACATAGAAATCAGTTCTGTAATAAAAGTTATCCATTCTGAAAACGGATTGCAGTTGTTTGTTTCTCCTTTCTTTTTCTTCTCAGTGTTCTCCAGCTATAAATTCCAGCGGAAAGTTCTGGTTGTCTGTCTATTTCTGGACTTATCCCAGAACTTTTGAGTTTTGTATGCACGTTTTACAGATCTGGTTACCACATAGAGGATAGGATTGAGAAGAATTGTAAAATGTTAGATTGTGTGTGGTAATTAAAAGCTATTACCTTGGAAGATTGAGCCAATTTTGAAGATCATAAATTGTGGTATGTATGTCTCAGTTTTATTTCATAGAATAGAGCCTGTTACAAATAATTAATGGGTTGCTAAGAAAGCCTATGTTTATGGGAATTCTGATATTTTCTTTTTAAACTTTTCATATTTTGCAGAATGCTATATATTGTTTAAAAAAGATGTTTGTTTCTCTTCTCTGTTTTTGACATGGGCATCCATTCTATGAATGTGTTGTTTATATTTTTGAAACATTTCTTTCCTTCCTTACTATAGTTTAAAGGATTCATTTTACATATTGTAAACATATTGTAAATTATCCTTTCCTCATTTTACATGGGGTCCAATTAAACAAATTTAATTTCTTTGCATTGTGAAATCATAGCTTTGCTTCTTTTAGTAGAAAGGAGCCCACTTTGTAATTTGAAATGTCTCTTTGTTTTCTTTTTGTAATGAGGGACCTTGTTTGAATGTATCAAACTAAAAAAATGTAGTCTGTCCTTCAGTATCTGAGGGCCTGTTGTGATGAATGCTTATATTTTCCTTTTGTTGAAATTTTTCTAAGGAAATAGTATTTCTGATGGACATCTTTTGCTGAAATGTGTAATTTTGTAAGGAAATGGTGTCTATGATAGCAGTTAGGTTACTGTTTTCGATTTCCAACTGCCAAGGGATATTTTACATGCGCAACAATACCACGGGCGCCTGATCTTACTAACCGCAGAGCAGGGGAAATTATTAGAATTCCACGTGAAAAAATCCCAGCTTTCACTGGGGCGTAACCCAGGACCTCCAGCACTCGAGGCGGACACCATGCCTCGAGACCACGTAGCCCCATGCTGACACATGCTAGTGTTAAATGAATTCAATATCTCTATTTATGTTGTAGAACAGACTTACTCTACTGGTGTTTCATGCATGTATTGCTTTTGTAAATGAGCGGACAGTGCTAGTTTTTCATGAATATATCTTCCTTATAGCTTTTGTAGAAAGGAATTTTGTCCTCTTTTGTTTAATCTATATGACATGATGTGTGTTCAAGTTGCAGAAAATGTCTAGGCAGGATTCTGCTAATAATTTGTTTATATAAAATCATAATTTTTTCCCTCTCTCCTTTTGTAGAATTTGTCAGAATTCTGCTAGTATTTGTTTTGTTTATGAAATCATATATTTTCTCTCCTTCTGTAGAAGGAGTTTTTCTGCAAGTTTATCGTGTATCGTGACTTATATTTTATTCGCTTTTTTGTAGATGACAATATTCAGTATGCATGCTGTGTATGTAATTATATATTACCTTTCACTGAAGGGTCCCCCATATAAGTATATTATGTTTGTGAATTCATGTTTTGCTTTTCTTGAAGTCCTCTCTTCAAGGCTATTCTGCTTGTGAATTGGTTGAGGCTTCCCACTTTATGATATTTGTGAATTCATGTTGCCAATATGACACATTTAAGAATGTGAATTCATTTATTCCTTTCATTTAAAAACCCACGTCACATTGTTTAATTATATGATGTATATGAATTGTATTTTACTTAATTGAAAGTACACCCGCATCCCCACTTTCTCATCCAAGTGTATCTTGTTTGTGTATTTGAAGATTTTCTGTATGTGGAAGATAACAGTTAAGATGTATGTGTGTGTACTTTTCTCCCACTTTTTGTTTAAAGATACTTGTTAAGGTATATCATGGATTGTATGTGTGCCACATTTTTAGAACCAGGCTGCCATCCTGCATGTATCAGTAGTTGTGAGTCATATCAGATTGTCCTATGGAGAAAAATAAACTTACTGTTATAGGAATGGTGTAAGGTATAAACAGCATTCTCGTTTTGCAATGGTGTATGGTATTTACTTAATTCTTGCTTTGTTTCTTTCTTTGTTTCTTTCTTTCAAATGGTTTTTACAGATTTTTCTTTGCATTGGTTTGGGTATTTTTTTTTTAAAGATGTTTCATAGAGGCATCTTTTGTTTGCATTTATATATCTGTACAACTTGACATGTTTTGATCTTTCCAAATTGATCTCTACTTGCTTTTGTTCTGTCTAAGGGATGTAACTGGAAAAATGGCTTGATGTTTGCTGTTAGCGAGGGCTTGACAGCGTACACACTTACCCTGGTAACTGTGTTAGTTGTGATAGCTGAGGATGCCGTCCACAGCTATATGAATGTGGAATGCAGGGAAACACTACCAAACTATTAATTCCATGAAATTGCAGTCAGAATTCTTAGAACTAAGAATGTAGGGGACCAAAAAGACAAAGGATGCTAACATTGACAGTTTTAAAATTATAGAAAGCTAGTTTATATACATGTAGACCACGAGGTAGACCAAAAAGACAATGGAGAGATTATGTCCAGAGAGATCTTTGTGTCACCAACTGGAAAGAGAAATCCAACCTGAGAGATAAGTGGAGCCGGGTGATATCTGCAGCAGTTAACCTCAAGGGCTCGGAATGCTGAAGAAGAAGTTCATAAACATTATCAGGTGTCTCAAACTTAAACTGTGTGTGTGTGTGTGTGGTCATGTTGAACACTACTGTAGTTTGGAAAGCGCATTGATGAAGGGCATAGATTATGAAACAAATGAACTTGATTTCCAAAGGGTTACAAATTGAGCATGCATGCCAGTCTTACATTCAGCCCTTCCACCCGTCTTTCAGACTGTACTTGTATTTTATTAGTCAAGCATGATATGTTCAAATACTCTTGGTATGCTTTCTATGACTACCAGGTTTTAAAAAAAAAGAAGCACAAAATGGTAAATGCTTACATGCATGCATACTCATATATGCACTTGTTCAGACGTATACATACAATGCCCATTCATATTCTCATATACAAAGTCACACATTCATACTGGAAGATGAGGCGGGGGTCGAGCAGCGGGATATATGCAGGATAGTGAAGAAACCTAGTGTATGGGACGCAAACTGGCAGAGAATCAAGAATCTATATAGCTATGATGAGAGTAATGTTCTGCATGGATGATAAAGTTGTTCTATCTTTGCTGACTTTCATCTACCACAGGGTAAAGATCATAGTAAGGTTTGCTGACAGATTGCAAGCAGCATCATCCTATTGTGCTTTTACATGTTCCATAAGGTTTGCTGTCTAGTCCTCACATATATTCTTTCTTTTGTAATCACATGGATAGTATCTGGCCCAGCAGCTTTGCCCTCCTTCGTCGTTGTTCATCTTAGGAATTTCTCTTGAAGATCTTAATTTTCCTCAGTTCATTTCAGTGGTTGTTTAATAATTCTCTGTCAACTTCTCATTATGCATCTAGTGTATTCCATTTGTAATAGATACCAGGAAATATACAGAAGAGTTAAGGCAGCTCAGATCAGCACCTCGTTAGTTCTGACTAGGAAAATATTAGTGACTGAAAGTGTCATTAAAACATATACTGTATCAGTTAGATAAAATATACATTATCTAGTTTTTGTGTTAAAAAACCAGATTTTATGGCATTAACAGTTTGTTTGAGAGACTACTGTTTTAATTAACAGATCATTCAGGTTTTATTCAAGTGCTGTTTTTTTTTTTTTTTTTAAATCTCCTGGTGAAGTCCTCTTCAGACCTTCCTATCTTTTGTTATCTCTTGCAGCTCCGTCTGTGGCCTCATTTTATTTATCTCTCATGTCTGTTCTTCTCCCTCTGTGTTCAGGTCTGTTTATGTTCTTAGGTCTCCTTGAATTCTTTTGCCCATTTAGGTTCTGGAAAATGGATTTTCTAGTGATGCAATTAACAATCAAAGCTGTGTTTTTTCAACAAGCACTAATACCTTCCTTAACTGTGTATTATGTTTTTTAATTTCCTGTTGGTTTTGATATTACTTTTATGTGTTTTCCTCTTTCTTTTTTTTTTTTTTTTCCTGGTGAATTATGGGTTTAATTATTTTCTCATTTTTTGCTATTAATGTGTTTTTTTTCCAGCCAAAGTAAGCTGCATGAGTCTGTTATAATTTCTTCTATTTTGATGTTGTTTTGGTCATGATTTAGCTGTTTCCAAATTAAAATATTGCTTTTGTTATGCTTTCTTGTCAGTTAATTTTACTTTATGTATATTAATTTTTTCTTGTGCT